TCGGCTGCCCCCCCCAGCAGCCCAGGGAGATGGGGAGCAGCTTTTCTCGCCCCGGAGGAGGCGGGCGGCGGGACCAGGCGTCCTGCCGCTCCAATCCTCCGGGGCGAGAAAATCCCCGTTCGTAACTGCGGATCCGACATAAGTCGGATCCGCGTAACTCGGGGACTGCCTGTACTTGTTAAAAGATAACCTAGGCTCCTATTTTTGCGAATAGGTACTCCAGCAGGACTTTCAGAAATGCCTTTATGTTTGAAATTGTGGATCCTCCTCCCTTTCCCATTGTTGTAAATAATGCAGAAATGAATGTGGCTTGTTTTGGTTAAACAGTGGCACCAATAATAACTGGCATGTGGGCCAGTATCGAAACATCTTTGCTTTTGCAATTGGCTCATCCATGAATCTTAGTAGAGCTCTGGCAATCTCTGTTCATTTGATATACTGCTGCTGAACAGGCAGCAGAGACAGCACATCACATGCTTTGCTAGCCTTTGCCCATCACTTGTGTCTAAATAACTACATGGTAGATATAAAATCCAGAGCACATGCCTTATTCATGAGACTATTTTAAACTTGTTTCTAGACCTTCACTCACACGTGTCTGCTCTTCTACCTCACAATTCCTATGCCCAGGCAACTGGACTGAAGAAAGCAGATGCTTTTTTTGCTCCATGTCAGTAGTTTCCCGCTAGAGGTGTCTTATCTTCTGCTGGCCTTCTCTGCTCTCCACACTGACTTCCACAGACAAGCAGAAAGAAGAGCCTCAGCTCATGCAGAGGAGAGAGGAAGGGGATCTGGCACAGGAAAAATGGAAGTGCACTCCCACAGCAGAGAGTGAAAGTAGATAGGAGTGAGGGGAATATAGCCAAGGATGACTGATGCCTGAGAAGCCTACTGATTGCCACCACTCAAACCAGCCATCATCCTTGATTATATTCTGTGCGCTCTGCTGACACGAGAAAGAAGCTGCAGGAAACGAGCCTGTTTTAAGGGAGGGAAGGAAGGATGTGTGGCAGAAGGCCTGATGGGTGCATTCATAGATCAGGCAACCATCCAAACATTAAGGGATCTTTCACTAGTGTTGTATAATACAAATAATTCATACTTCTACAGTGCTTTCTACGTGAGAACCTCATATCTCTCAATGAATGTGTATTAATGTTAGGAAAGCATAACTCATTCTTCAGGTGGGGAAACTGAGGAACAGAAGTTAAATGAATTCTCTCCTGTGTCTCATGCAAGACCAGCATCCACCCTGATGCAGACATGGCAGAGTCCTCGAAGTAAAGCTTCAATTGTATGTAGCTTGTGATGGCACAAAGAAGCAGGTTTTTCCTTTTTACTAGGCAGCAGGCATAGCCCAAAGAAGTCTGTTACTTTTTAGGGGAGAAGGTGCTGTCAAGACAACCAGGGGGTGCACTGAAATGTTAAAACCTTGTTTGAAGATGACACAGGCAAAATCTTGTGGAGAATCCCTTTGGGCTGTTGTCTTGTGGTTGATGCACATGACTGTCTTTCCAAAGAAGGCATTTTTGCTAAGCTGATTGCAGGGATTACATTTTTGCATTATTGTGACAGAATATTACCATATGGTGTGTCAACAATTTGTTGCAATAACTAAGCGTGGTTTGGAGTATACAGTTTGCTGGATTTTCTGGTTTTTGCTTTTTTTGAGCAGGCAGAACAGATTTAGGTGCAACTGGAAACCATCTGATTTGAAGTCCTGTGGCACCTTATAGACTAACTGAAGTGTTGGAGCATAAGCTTTTGTGGGAACAGACCCACTTTATCAGATGCATGTATCTGACAAAGTGGGTCTTTGCCCACGAAAGCTTATGCTCCAACACTTCAGTTAGTCTATAAGGTGCCACAGGACTCCTCGCCGCTTTTGCAGATTCAGACTAACACGGCTACCCCTCTGATACTTGACATCTGATTTGAGAATTTCAAAACTGAAACCATCCTGGACTCCTAAAATGTTTTGCAAGTTCCCTTCTTCTCCCCACTTCCAAGGAGCTCTATCTTCTTTGACATATTTTCCGCCTTCAACCTGGACCATGCTCAAGTTGATCACATTTAAATGTGTCTGTATCTGTGCAAGTTTCTTCATATGGTTGATGGCTTTCCAATCCAAATGGCTAAATGTAGTGCCTTGCATGTAGAATAGTAATAGAAATGTAGCCGTGTTAGTCTGGTGTAGCTGAAGCTACATTTCTATTACTATTTAAATGTGGGGTCTTATACCTTCTTAACCCTCATTCTGCAAGACACTGGTGTGCTTACCCCTTACACACTATTATGAAAAAACTGTTGCAGGATTGGCTATAGCCACATCTTACCCGTTGGCAGCGGGACGAAAAAGGGTGGCGAAGGCCGGGGCCCTGCTGGATGCCTGCTCTCTGCCAATCAAAACAAAAATAACAGCGCAGTAGCCTAATGTAGGCCCCTTTGTGCAAGCCCCGGGCTGTCAGGCTGACCTGCTTATGGGAATCCGCGGGAAGAGTCTTTGCAGCCTGCGTGTGTCCTAGTCACTGACGTTGCACGATCAGCCTCGCCGCGAGCTGGGTTTGCAACGCGGGGGGCCCTTCCTACCGGCTGGGCCCCCGCCCGCCGCGCTGCAAAAGCCGCCGCCACACGCGGTCGGAGCCTAGCGAGGGATGGAACGCGGAAACAGCGCCAACGTTCCAGCGGCGCTCCTCAGCCAATGAGGGGCCGGGCTGCCGGAAAGGGGGGGCGGAGCCGGCTGCGCCGCACGCCTCCAGTCTCGTCACCCACGTGTCTGGCTTTGTACCCCTCCCAGCTGCTAAGCCAGAGCCTCTTTCGCTTTCCTTTCCCAGCGGCCGGGGGGCCCTGATGGCGGCTTGGGGGAGCTTCGGTGAGCGGGAGGACGGCGCGAAGAAAGACCGGGGCTTCTGGGAGTACGACTCCACCTGGGAAAGCGATGAGGGGGAGGCGGCTGGAGCAGACAGCGAGGAGGAGGATTCCTTGCCGGGGAGGTTGCAGGGCTCCCAGCAGGCCGGCGGCGCACAGGTGACTCCTGCGACTGGGCTCTGACCTGGAAGGGAGGCTGGGGATTATTTGGGGCGGGCGGTGGGAGATGTGTGTTTCCCTCCAGTGTTCGTGGAGGTGAAGTGAGACTCTGGACGACTGGTGCCTGCGGGGGCGTGAGGTTCAGAGGGGCACCCTGTGTGGCAATTGAAATTTTGGCGAGGACAGTGCACCTCCCGAGTCACCTAAGCCCCTCTGAGTAAGATCCACATAGGGGAGAAATATGAATGTGCCTGTCTCCTGCCCTTGAGAAGGTAATGGTAAATAATCTTTCCCTCTCTCCCACCTTTTAAACAAGCTGTCTTCTGACTCTAAAATATGCACCAACTCCCTACCATAGTGCACATGCTTCTCTTTGGTTAAGTAGTTTTTTTTCTAGTTGCATTATTTCAAAATGTATTACGCTCTGAGGTTCCATATTTCATTCTGCCGCAAGAGCTACAACTTCCTCGTGTTCTAATGTCAGGCATAAGTTGCTGCTTGGGTAACTAATTGGACCCCAGTGTCTTGGGGCCTCTTCTGTTTCAAGGACAGAAGCAGCTTGAAATAGCTTCAGAGAGTTCCATGTTCTCCTAATAGGATCAATGCTGCTATTATTCTGCCATAATCTTAATGAACCATAGTTTTGGATGTCTCAAAGAAGGTACACACAAGCTTACTGACTAACTTTGCAGGAGGTGGGTATTTGGATTAGAGGTGGGCTTGTGGGGTTATTGCTCAATGGAAAAATTAAAAGAAATGCGGGTTTGTTCCACTAAAGCTTCATTAAATTGTTGCATGCTGTTTCTGAATATCTTTCCCAGCATTCCTGGTAAGCAGGATAATTTTGTTTATAAATCAACTTTGTCTTGTCTACTCTGATTCCACTTTGCTGAGTCTGTCATGGTGTATCATGTGTTTTGACATCATAGTTAAGAATTGATGGTACTGAGCATTTTCTATCACTGTAAATGCTCCAGTCACTTACTGTCTGTGTGTGTGACTTTTTTTGCTGGCCCTAAAGGATGTTACTCTTAAGATTATCAAGTACTATCAAGCAATGTTTCTTCATTTTTAAGAGTGAAGTACAATTTGCTAGATTTTCAAAAACTGCTTCAAGAAGAGGTGTTCTAGATCATCAGTGAACCTGAAAAAGACCACCCGTGAATGTCCTACAACATTTTTATGGGGCTATAAAATGTGATTATTTACCTCTGATGCCATAAAATGTTAGTGTTGAACAATGATATGCTTTGGTCTCTTGTAAAGTTTCTCACTGTCTTCATCAGTGAGCATTTAAAAACAATCCCACAATACTATTTAAACAGATCTCTGTTCCTTTTTGTCTTTGTTTTACTGAAGAGACAATCAAAAGCTCACAGTTTTTCCTAACTAACTCCTCCTATCTTGGGGAAATAGAAACTAATCCATGTGTTCAGTTTCACTTTGGTGACTTGTGCAACCTTTTACCTTAAAACTGTTTTAACACATCTTGGTTAATTCAGATTTTGTGAGGAAGATTAGTTTTAAATCATGTAGAATCTCCTTGTGAGAGTGCGAGGTGTAATCAAAAAGCTATTTTGCTGAAATTCAAAGTAGTTGCAAACAAATCAAAGACTTAGATCCTGCAAATGAGTCTGCCCATGCCCACTCCAGCATGGATTTCTGTTAACTTCACTGGGGTTCTGCTTGGGCAGCTCCATTAGCAGAATCTAATTCCAGGACCTTAAGTCTCAAGTGCCTGTATGTAATATTTCATGAAATGTTCAAGATAAGGGCATCCTCACGGAAGACATTTGTTTGTTAAAAGGATGCTGTCAAGTCAAACTTAATCCTAAATGTAGGTTTTGATTTTAAAGGGAGGGGGGAATGTTTACAAATCTTCAAACCAATATTTATTCCCATTGAAGTGTCTCTTGCCCTTTCCTCCCACCCCCAGCTCTCTAAACAAGCTAATGCAGAGAAACTGGAAAGTAGAATTGACTAGAAACTGCTTCTTTCTTCTCTTTTTCTACGCTAAGAAAATTATCTGCTGGTAATAATGGATCATCTCAACTGGTGTTGTATATAGTTTAAATGGAAGCAGAGGCAAAGACAACCTGATTTCAGCACCAGCTAGTGTATGTTTTTCATGCCCTGCTTTAAAGGGATGTTGTTGAGGCTTCTTACCCTCAAAATATCAGCACCCTGCTTCTAAACTTTATCTGTTCCTTTATAAATGTATTCCTGTCCCTCTCAAGCAAAGTCTGCAGTTGTCTTTGAAGAGAGTGGGAGAACTCTTATACAAAAAAGTCACGTTTTCTCACCATTCATTTATTACACACATCAGCAACCTGCAAAGGGCTCTGATCATTTTGCAAAAAAGTATTATTTCTGCTCATATTAAACTAACTTAGATTCCTTTCTCTTCAGTCTAGATGGTATTGTTTATACAGGACGTCGATTATGTTTTTGTGGAAAGCTCTTTCAGCTCTTAAACTTTCAGATGCCCAGGTTAGAGATTTTTTTTTTTTTTTAATATGCACTTTCAAACATCTGGCTGAAACTAAATCTTCAGTTGCATGTCATTTGCATATCTTTGTAAAAGTGCTTTTGATTCATTACTAGAGATATCCGTGGACATGTTTTCAGATAATTTTGACATTTAGTTTCCTCTATAAACTGTTTAATTTGTTTTTAATGCCGTCTTACTCTACTGCAGAATAGCAGGTTTCAAGTTCCATTGCACCATTCTCTAACAAGAAAAGTGACTTTGCATTGTCCCAGCCTCAAAGAATTTTGTGTGGATGAAACCTCTATTGCTCAGGCTTCTCTTCGTGGGATGCTGGCTGCAAGTCTTGCTGTTATCTATCTTTTTTTTTTTTTTTTTTTTTTTTTTCTTGCCACTGTTTGCTGCTTCTTTGTTCACATTGCCCCACCCTTTTCAAACTTTGTCCTGTTTTTCTCGCACTCCTCCTGAAATAGTGTGCCGTGCCATAGTGCTGGCATGTTGGCTGCACCCACACCTCAAAAATTGCTCGCCATTAGGTGTTATGAAAACGTAGAGATTTTGTTTTGCCTGTAAAGTTTTGAGATCTTGGCTTTAAAAACTCTGGAAGGAAATGGAAGCTTTTTTTCCCCTCAGTGATCTAAATTGGAAACTTAACTTCAAGAATGCAATAGCAGGAGATTGGGCATGTCTTCTCTGCTTCCTTGTCTCTGGCCCAGCTACTTTCTGAACAAGTCTCTCTTCACTTCTGCTTTCCTTCATGCTGCTTGCATTATGTCTATCTTGATCACTCTTTGTCTCTTGCAGACTTAATCCTCTTCCAGAATTGGAGCTGGACTTCTGTTATCTATGTCAAATGATTGTATTACTGGATACTGATCTAGCAGAAGAATCTGAAACACAAATAAGACGCATGGGGTCAAATCCGGGTCCCAATGTAATCAGTAGCAAAATTCCTATTAACTTCAGAGGAGTCAGAATTTCTCTCCTGGATTTCAGACATGGTATAGTCAAAATAATAGATGGATTTCATAGAGTAAAAGCCCAGTCGCTCTTTACATCCTAAGAGAAAATATTTCTGAATGCACATTTCTCCTCTTAACAGAGCCTCTTGCAACATGCAAAAAAAACTACTTACACTTAAACTTGATGGATTTAAAAACAAAAATGAAACCCAAATCAGTATGGGTATGAATCAGTATATCAGTACATGGTTAAAACCCTGGTATTGGCTATCTAGGCTGGCCAATTGGAGTGGGCACTAGAATCTTGAATTCTAATCCTGGTCCTTCAGTTGTCTGGCCTTGGGCAAGTCCCTTCACTTCTCTATTTCATCTCCTGTAAAATGGGAATAATGCTTATCTACTCTGCAATCTGGGTTATGGGGATGTCCATGTGAACGGTCAAGATTTTAAATTACTTTATTCATTCTATAGAACACCCTTTTTCTGATGGCGTCTGACAGGTGTCCATATAACACTAGGAAGATAGATGTTAAGTATTTTTATTATTAAAAACAGTCAATGGGACTAAACAACAATCTTCTGAGTGCAAACCATTTGGTACATAGTCTAATTCCCCCTTAAAAGTGGCATGGATGCTGGCCAGTAATTGACTGTTTGCAGAAAAGTCTCTGTTCCCCAGACAGAGGGAGGAAATTATAATGGTCGGACAGTGACAAATAAACTGGGAGGGGCGCTTGTTCTAGGAAGTGCTGAGCACCAAGGACTAAATCCAGCCAAGCACCTTGGAGTCTGGGTCCTAATCCTTTGAAACTCATGGAAAGTTTCCCATTAACTTCAGTCATCTTTGGATCAGGCCCTTTCGGCATGAGAAGTCTCAAGGGGACTTTCCAAGCACTTATGGGTATGTCTACACAGCTTTGCACGACAAGGCTACTGGCCATATCTCTTGGGCCCCAGACAGGAAGCGGAGTAATGGGGCCAGGATCTCGGAAAGCGGAGCCGCATTGCTCTGCTTCCCTTCCACTGCCATTGAGTGCAGGGGAGCCCGACCTCTGTGCAGGGGAAGAAACTGGGCAGGGGAGGAGCAAGGGTGGGGAAGAAGTAGGGCAGGGGCAGAGCAGGGGGTCTAGGCAGTATGGGGGTGAGACTTGGGGAGGAAAGGGCCTTGTCCTGTCCCTGCCCTGGTCTAAGAGTGGCACGGGGTGGAGTCATGTGGACAGTGTCCCCCTTGTGTCCCTCCTCACCAGTCACCCCTTTTGTCACTAAAAGTGAGTTTGTGTGAATGCTGTTAGTCAGCACTTTTGCCAACTAAACTCTTCCACTCTCTAAGGGAGTTTACCTTTGTCGCTAGGAGAGTGCTCCTGCCAACAAAACAGCATTCAGACTTTCACTCGCTGCTGCGTGTTGTTCACGGGTGGGTTTCTTTTAAGCACCTGTGAATAGGGATGCAATAGAATAACCGTTTCCATGGTTAACTGATAAGCCTGGGCTTGTCAGTTACCATGAATGGTTACAGACAGGCTCCTGACCTGCTCCCAAAGAGCCGGCTGCCACCCCACACTATCTCTGTATCCGAGGCAGTAGCGTGGGGCGGCCGTTGGTGCATGCGGGGAGCTGCCTGCGGGTGCATGTAACTGCTGAACATGTGCTGGTGGTGGCCAGAGTTCCCAGCACTCTGCAGGAGCTGTAGCTGCATCTTTCTGTTTCTTGCATATTTTAGTGACAGTTCTGTCATCCAGGTTTGTATAACCATGATTAGTCAGTAAAGAAAGGCTCAGTCCTGGTTCGCACCGGGTGCAGGAGCTACCCCCACTGCTCCTCTGCAGTTTAAATGCACAAGCAGCCCAGCTCCTCCTACATTTAAACTACAGAGGTGCAGCAGGGATCGGTCCTGGGCCTGGCGCAAGCTGGGATTGAGCCAGGCCGCCTGATAGGGGCAGGGGCAGGCGGCACCACAGAGATGGTGCTGGGGGGAACCAGCTTTTAAGCTGGCTCCCTTCAGCTCCTGCTCTCTCTGCCCCCCCCCCCCCCCCCCCTTGCTGCAAGCAGGGGAATGCAAGCAGTCGACTTAACTACCCAATAAGCCTGGGCTTATCAGGTAGTTGACGATTCGACTACTCGCTTACATCCCTAGTATAAACATTGTAACTTTGTAATTAATGGAACTTGTCACTGAAGTGACGGACTTGAAGGAATAAAACATTTACTGGAGTTGTCTTAGTTCTTGACGAGCAAACTATATTTTTCTTTCAAATGTAACTGAAATTTGCTTTCAGTAATGTCGCCTTAAGTCTCTTGTTAAAGTGGTTTGTTTTTGTTTTTTTTTGTAATTTTTAGGAACGAAGACGACCAACGGTCTCATCAATGGGCTATAGAGGTTTTGAGGTAGGATTAAAATAGTGTTCACCTCTTCAGGAAGATAATGGTGATGGGAAAATATTGAAATAATTCCTGGCTTCATTATCTTACATAAACCAGCATTGTTGCTTGCTAGAAGCACATCATCTTCTCTTCCACTCTAAGCTGTGAATGAGTTCAGTTCAGTAATATTCTAAAGGAGTGACTTCCGAAACATTTTTCAGTTGGGTCTGTCTAGTCCTTTTGCTCTTGGGAAAATTCAGAACTTAATGGGGGAGTAAGGGAAATATTTGCAGTAGGGTTGTGGATTGGTCACCAGTTAACCGGTTACCAGGTAATGCTTACCGGGTAATGGTTAACAGGTTCCCCAAGAGCAGCCTTCCGTCTGTGAGCTTGTCAGTAGCCAGCCACACACAGGACTAGAAACAGGAGTTCCACATGCTAAGGTGGTCCGCCCACTTGAGATCCCAATCAGTCAGTTAACTGGTTACAGGTTGGGTTAATCTAAAAGTCTCCCTGGCAGTCTCAAATGAGATCAGCTGCCTCGATTGATTTACAGCAGCCCTGTCTCCCCTGCTCCTGATTAGCCAGGGCTGTTGCTGCTTTTAGAGCTGCCTTTCTCTCTCTCTCTAACCTAGCCCTGTGGCCTGACTCAGTCTCACGGGTTAACTGACTGGGATTTTACATCCCTATCGTGCAGGGGAAGGTGCGGTTAGCCAGACTGTCTCATGTTAGTCAGAACAGAATTTACAGCATCATTAGTAACCAGCTCTTCAAGAAGAAACATGACAAAACAGTGTTTTCTGTTGGGAAGCTTTTGTTCTGGATCATTGATTTGTCTCTTTCCTCTTCTCTCCAGTTCTCGATGGGACGCAACTGGACAGCTGCAAAAGATATGCAGAGATACAGGCATCATTATCCGGTACTGGTTGGAGATTTATGAACTTCCTGCCTTTCATAGTTTTTTCTTGCTAGACACAAGGGGCGCTTGGCTGATTTAAGGCTGGTCAAACGACATGCTTCAGTTGGTAGATTGATGAGGAACATTGAAATAATTATAATTAGTTGGGATTGGTACTGCCTAGAGCAGGGGGCTGGACTTGATGACCTTCTGAGGTCTCTTCCAGCTCTATGGTTCTATGATTCTATAATAAATTAACACAGTTTTCCTCATCCAGTCACTGAGATGTGCTACATCCTCCTGGCTCAGAAACAAGCCATTCAATCCCAACTGCTGTTCTCAGACTTCGTAGCCATGCTACCAACCCAAAAGAACTCGGGAAGGTCATTGTGTATATGTTAACTAGCAGCAATGCATTCAAATGCCTGTCTCTCTTCTGCAGGGTTTGGAAGAAGGGGAAGATGATGATGAAGAGGAGGAGGAGATGTGGAATTTAAGTTTTTACAAAAATGATATTAGCTTTCTGCCTCATGGTACGTATCTGACTGGGGCTTCCCTTATGTGCAAACTCATGCGCCTTTCAACTGCATGGAGTGAGTGGCAGGGATAGAATCCAGATCTTTTTTCCAGCCTCATGGTCAGTCGACTGGAGCATTTTCCAATGTTGACTGCGCTCCAGGATGCGCAAATGCATGTAAATCTGTGTTTCCTGCTTACGTTGCAGAATGTGATCAATTGCTCGCTTATTGTTCATTCCTTTGTTTCGCTCTGTGGCATGTGCAGTAGTAACTCGCCATGTGCCCTTCAGAGTTTTCTGTTTGTTACTGCCTTGTGAAAAGCTCTTCACTTCAAAAGATTAACTGGGGCAGGCAGAATTCCCTGAAGCGCCCCGCGGTAGGAGGAAAGTGTATTTGTTTACAAGCCCTTCTGGCAACCAGGTGTAGAATGTTTTTTGCAATGCACCTTTCCCTTGCAGTACATTAATGCTTTCAGGCCCCCATTCACGCTAACTTCAGCGCTTTGGATGAGAACCCACACTGAGCTGGGGGTGTGAACATTCAGCTGTCTAGAGCTTGAATGTTGAGCCATCTAGCTCTCCCTCTCGCCTGTTCCCTCTGTGCTGAATTCTCCTTCCAAGGTGCCTTCGTGTCAGACGTATGCAAAAGTGAAATGCCAAGAGCTGCCATTCAAAGGGAAAAAGGCAACCATCACTCATCTGAAACTAAGAAATGAGAAGAGCGTTTAATCTGACAAGAAGCGTCTTTAAAGCCTGGAGGCTGGTTTTCTGGGATCCCTGCAGATCAGGAATGGGGCCCTCTGGGATATCAGTCTCCATTCAACAGCGTGAGACTTTGAAAGTCCTAGAAGGCTTCTCTCCCCTTTCAAGGGCCTAATCTTGAAAAGTGCTGCACTTCTGTGTCTTTGGTAGAAGCCGAGGCTGCTCATTACCATGTAGGACATACAGGGGTCATTGCAAGATTAATCCTAAAGTAGCAGCAGACCCACAGTAGGAGAACCTACCCCTGATCTTTTGCGATAGCAGGTCACAGCACTAGCGAGGCTGTTACATTCTGACTTTTATGATGCTTGATTTTTCAGAAAATAGTCTGTTGAGATGGTTATTTGGACGTGCAAAGGAATGTCGGCTTGGGCCCTTATTTAGGAATAGCATTTCTTTAATGCCTGCACTCCAATGTATGCAGGAACCTACACTGTTAAAAAGCCTGTTCGGGGCCCCTTGGAAAGGACACGAGGAGTATGTCTAAACTGCAAGGCTACTTCAGGGTACCAGAGGTATCCCAAAATAGCTGCCCATTATTTGGAAATACTTCGCATGAGGGATAAGGGATGGCTCGAAATAGTGCTTGATTTTGAAATTTGGTGCCATGTAGACACGCCAAATTTCGAAATAGCCTATTGTGAAATAAAATCAATCTAAGATACGCAATTTGCATAGTGCAAATTGCGTATCCTATTTTGTGTTTAGAGTGCATTGTGGATGCACCCTAGGTTATCTTGTTAAACGTGCTCTTTTTATGGAGGCTACCCTCCTCTCTAAGACAAAAGATCCTGTTTTGTGGGACACTTATCCCATCTCCTGGACAATCGGTTAGCTTTACACAAGCTCATTTGCTGCAGTTTCTTCTCTCACTTCCCACTCTTTTTTTTTTTCCTCCCCCACCTAGGTTTATATATTGATGAGCTCCTTGAAGCTTGGCAGGAGGACTATGAGACTCTGGAAGAAAATCATTCTTATATACAATGGTAAATAGTTATTACGAAAAGAGACGTCTCTTCGCATGATTCTCTTCTGATGCCCGTCTCAGAGAATTTGGTGCTTCAGCGCTGCTGCAGCTGGCTTCATAGAAAACCTTCAGCTCCTAAATTTGTGAGATTTAGTTTAGTCAGTTACTTCCTTGTGGAAGTAACAAGAGGGCGGGGTGTGCTGACAGCAGGCCCACCAATGGAGGGTGCAAAAGGGGCAACTGCCCCGGGGCCTGGCAACACACAAGGGCCCAGAGCTCCTGCTGCTGCCACTGCAGGAGCCCTGAACCCTTTAAATCATTGCTGGAGCACTGCACGGCATACTTTGGGCAGCGCGGGAGAGGTGAGGGTGTGTCGTGACCTGGGCGGCGCCAAGGGCTAGCTGCCTCTAGTCCCGCCCCTTCTGCCAAGCCCCCACCCCTTCCAGGGCACTGAGCAGTTTCTCCATTTCCCTCCCCTGCCTTGTCTAAAGGCCCGGCGAGGCTATCGGCCCTGCTGGCTGAAGGCAAAGGTTTCCCTTGTAGCTCTGTCAGTGCCTTCAGTCCTCCGCTGCAGTATGTCTGGAAAACAGGTACTGGGTAACCGTATTGTGGTGGTTATTGATTTGTCTGGTATTTCTAATTTCACAATTCCTGCTAATAGTATGAGCATGTAGAGTGACTTTTTGCCGTGTGACTTTAGCCTGTAACAACCTAACTCCTTGTGTAGTCCATGACACGTCCTCTCAAAAAGGGACTGTATTTGGTATCTCCACCATGGAAGATCTGCCTCTTCATTTGTTAAGGAGCATGAGCACTGACTTTAATGCAACCTCTGTTTTATTGAATCTGCAAATCTTCTTTCCCTTCAGGCTGTTCCCTTTACGTGAGCGTGGGATGAACTGGCGCGCAAAGCCTCTCACACTTAAAGAAATTCAGGTGCGTCTTTTATTTCAAACCTTTTATACCTGAAGGGCAGTGGGGGTTCAGCTAAGTAAATTTTTGCCCTATACTATGTGAGGTTGCTCCATTTCCTTCTCCACCCTAATGGAGCCAGCGCCACTGTCTGTTAAATGCCGCTTTGGATGACCTTTTTGCTCCTCTCAGCAGTAGATTATAGATTTGATGATGTAAACATAAGAAAGGCCATACTAGGTCAGACCAAAGGTCCTTCCAGCTCAGTATCCCGTCTGCTGTCAGTGGCTAATGCCAGATGCCCCAGAGGGAGTGAACCGAACAGGTAATGATCAAGCCATCTCTCTCCTGCCATCCATCTCCACCCTCTGAAGATTTCAACTGTGTCTCTTTACACCATAGCCATTTATAAGTACAGTAAACTTCCGATAATCCGGCACCTTTAGGACCCAGGGGGTGCCGGATTATCCGATATGCTGGACTATCAGAAGGGGGGGCTATGAGGGGTCTGGGGTGGGGTGGGGGGAAGTTACCCTAGACCCCCTCATAGCCCTCCCTTCTGATAGTCCGGCTCTGCCCCAGGAATCCCCGATTCAGCCGCTGG